CTTTTAAAATGTGGATAAATATGTAATGGCTCTCTGTATTGTGACTAGATTTTACTATGGAGTATTTTGATATACGAATAAGGAAATATGATAGAAAGGAGCCAGTAAATAAGAGGAAAACATAAATAAGCATATGAACATACATATTTAATGAAGTTAGAATTTGGAGGATAAGAAATAAATTTTACTGGCCATTGCCCCTGCTCTTGGTTACCCACCAGAACCAGATGGTAAGAACAGCTGAAGGTACTACATCCATGAGCTGTAGAATGAACACAGAGAAACCAAGCTTGAGCTGACTTCAGAAGATCACCTCTATTAGCTAGTACACGTTGTGCTGGAAGGTGCTATGTGTGCTACCACAAGGAGAAATTAATCATCAACCCTACCTAGCTGTGAATCCTGTGAACTACAGTAACAACTGGCCTGGCAATATATGCCCACTGGCACAATAGTGACACAAATATGATGGAAGTAACAAACCAGTGTTTAATTGGATTTAAGGTCTACTTCCTAGGTTGGAGCCCATACCTGACATGAATATCAAGCTCAGGAGCCTGATAGTAGACAGATCACAGAACAGAGGGGAGACACCAACACTAGTTTTCAACTAACTACTTATCATATTAAACTGACCCTCAATGACTTATTGTTATACCCATAGATTAATGCATGTACCAACTCTCACCAGAGATGTTTCACAGAAACCCACAACTGGCCAACCTGCAGAGAACAAGTGGCTGCAGAGTGCTTATCCTTGAATAGGATCTTTGTATCAAACTTCTGCCTCCCAAGGTTCAGAGATCATTATAGAAAAGGGGACAGAAAGATTATAAGCACCAGAGGTGGTAAATGACCACAAGGAAATAGAATTTTCTGGACAACTGGTCAGGTATCCTTATGAAATCAGCAATGGTGAAAGCATGCAGAAGTCCCAGGCAGGTTCAAACCAGAAAAATCCCAGCCACTGTACAGGTCTTGGGAAGAGGAGAGTTACTGAAGAGGCAAATGTATCCTTTGCTTTTACAGGAAGCTACAAGGTTAAGAAGACCCTGTCCTATCCCAGAAAAGGTGCCACTGTTAGAAGTAAATGCAAATGACCTTATCAGCAAGAAAAGAAAAATGCTACATTTGAATATCCAATATGAAAATACAATCAATGAGTAAAATAATTATTAATATTACAAAATGAAGTTACACCAGCCTCCAATGAGGATTCACATCCTGATCCATTCCAGTAGGGAGACCTGGCCCTCCTAGAGATTACAAAGACAAGCATAGAGATGACCAGCATCAGCCTAGTTCAAAGGAAATTTAAGAGACTTTTATTAAATACTTGATCAACTGTCAAACTCCAGAGAGTTACTGATTGGGTCCACCTGCCCAAGATAAGACTCTAGTTTGCAGAAAGCACTCAAGGTAAGATCAAGAGAGTCCTATTGTATCAGTAATCCAATCGAGAACTTACAATTTCTCTTCAACAGGGACTCAACAAATATATGGACTTGTGATGCATAGCTTCTGATTTGTAATTTTCCAAATGAGCAATACCTTGATACATTTGTGCTCAGCATTTACCAGAAAAACCCTTTCTTGTTGGCCATAAAATTGTTTCAAGATGTTCTTTTCTTCCTTGCAAACTAATTTGTCTGGCCTTGAGTAAATAAAAATCCAACTCACTATTTAAAAAAAAGAATATTATGCAATATTATCTAAGTTAATATGAAGATTTAGAGAAATGACATTTGAACAAATCCTTGAAGTGTGGAAAGTAATGTTTCTCACAAAGGGAGCAACACAGGTAAAGATTTGTGTGGGAAGGTGCTAAAATGTCAGTATTGTGAACAAGGCTCTGGAGTAACTTGGGGATTTGGTGTGAAACAAACTCAGTGGTATCAAACTAACCATTGTAAACCCATTTTTAAACTTTTTGATAATTTCATACATGCCAGTGTGCATGGGAAAATTTCACAAGGCCTACCTCTAAATGACGAGCTACAAGCAATCAATGGCTACTCAATTGTTTTTTTTTTTTTGCCCCCTCAATTCTATGGTGTATTTTAAGAACAACACAAAACCCTGGGTAAGTTACAGTATCAGGCAATTAAGTTATGAGAATTTTACATTAAAAACTTACTTTGGCTCTTATGTAGAAAATTGACATAATGATTGTTGTTGGCAGATGACTTCAGATTTTTCAGGTAAATAATGTAGGTTTGGAATAGCTTAGTAGTACTTAGTTACAGACTATGGTGAAAGAGGAAGATGGTCATACCAAGGAAGCCTCTCCCCAGTGTGGAATGAGAATTCCATACATGATGGCTGCATTTCTTAAGATTGGGAGAACTAGGAAAAGAACAAATTTTGTGCAAGGCAGAAATATGTTTAGAATAGCTATCCTATGAGCCAGGTGTGGTGGCACATGCCTTTAGTCCCAGCACTTGGGAGGTGGAGGCAGGCAGATCTCTGGGAGTTCCAAGCCAGCCTGGTCTATAATGAGTTCCAGATCAGCTGGGGCTACAAGGAGACCCTCTCTCAAAAAGACAGAAAAGAAAAAGAGAAAATTGCTGTCTTATAAGAGATGGGCTAAGAATATAAATTTTGGTGGTCATTAAGAAACAGAAGTCTCCTTTTTTCCTTTTTTTTCCCAACACCTGCTTGCTTCTTCAGGCCATTTGCTTGGAATTTTTAAAAATTTATTTAATAACCATTCAATAACAATTCCCAGTGTCTGATTTGACAGTAGCAGCTGCCATTACAGTTTTCTGATTACATATAACTTTCTTTTTTTCTCTCTCTTTCAAAATTGCCTCTAATTTTTAGGTTCACAGTGTTGAATTAATACAGTTATACATTATTGTACTCAGTTTAAAGCCTATAAGATGTAAAATTAAATGTGATTTTAACCTTTAAAAATGATGTCCATTTCATTTTAGAATATACTGTTTCATACAGAACTCATTTTTAATGCAAATAACACTTAGATGTTTGCACATGAGTCTCTAATCTCTGTGTATCTAATTATTACTAGTCACAGTCGGTTACTTTCTGGGATCCTTGATATCTGAGCATGGTATAAATTCATCAGGTAGATTTCAATGGTAATGTTTTTCATATCTACTAATTGGCATGAAACAATTTTTATGCGTCTTCCTCAAATACAACTCATTATTTGTGTGTATTTCATATAGAGCATCCCAAACAATCTTATTCATCTTTATACCTGTATCCCAAAAGGGACCCTCCCATAAATCTCCCCCACACTGGAGCCCATATATTCTGTCATCCTTGTTACTGTCCACTGCATTGTCAGTGGCCCCGATTATTCCCCAGTGCTAGCTAGTCCATCCACTGAGTCTTCTCAGCCTATCTAGAGTCCCTTGTTTTAGGAAGACCAGCTCTTCCTCATCTGGCAACAATCAGTTGCCAACATTCCTTTAGGTAAGATTGGGGTCTGCTGTTCATTTTTCCAGTTCTGTGCTGGGTTACTGTCTGGGAGTCTCTTGGACCACCCTGGCCAACAACTCAAAGGAAGGTATCTCCTGTCTGGCATTGTTTCTTGTTATGTAGCTTTTAGCTATACACATGGACTCTAAAAAAATTATATTGATCCCTTTAATCCAGCATCCATTTTGGACTGTTCATAGCAGCCTGCACTCCAGCCCTCCAGCACTGCACTCACATGCAGACTGCCCCACATATATGCACATAATTGATAATAATTTTTAAAATATAATAAAAAGAAACAATAGTTTATGTTTATATAAAATGTAATTGTTGGCTAAGAGTTGGTTAATTTGTTTCTATTTCTTTAGTAGTAGTTGAGAAAGAAATGTATGCTTGACCTAGGTGATAGGGGTAGAATTATATTGATTTTTAAAGGTGTTAATATGTTAATACATACTACTGTGCTTCATTTATTATTCCTTAAACAAATGCTTAATTTAATCAATGGGAAATACAGGAGTCCTCATTATTGTCCAACAGTTTCTCTCTCTCTCTCTCTCTCTCTCTCTCTCTCTCTCTCTCTCTCTGTCTCTCTCTTTCTCACACACACACACACATAATGAATTTTGGTCTTTTTACACACACACACACACCATGCTACTCTCTTCCCCCTCCCTCTGCTGCTGAAGCCCTTTTTCCCAACACATCCCCCTCCTACTTCCATATCTTCTGTGTGTGACACATAATTAGAGTGGCTTGCATGAATGTAGGTGAGATCTCCTCTTTTAAATTCAGTAAAGTCGTTTTTCATTTATTTTAGTTTCTGAATAGTGACTATACTGGGAGTACAGCAAGAAAGAGGAAAGACTAACAAATTAGGACAATTCAAGAGAAGTTAAATAAAGTTGCAGCCTAAAATACAGGCTGGGTATAAGAAATGCTATGCTATCATGCACTGTATGAATGTGTCAGACTCAAAGGGAATGAAGGTGGAAAAAAAAAGAGATCAGTAACTAGGACAGCTTTGCATATGATAGTCATTCTGAATAACTGTGGGGAGCAAACCTGAATAAGAGCCTTGATCTCCCTTCTTCTTCAGTCAGAACCCTAGTTTGGCAGAACCTAGTCAGAAACCAGAAGACTAGACCACCAATGTAGTCCTACCAATGTAGTCTGCTGAGGTCAGAATCCATAGCAAACAGCAATATAGCAAAATAGGATGTTGGGATTTTAAAAACGTGAAAGATTCTAAACAATGCCGGACAAAATGAGGGAAGATAAATGTAAAATATAGAGCCAAGTTATTTCAGGAAAGAAAAGGAGGCACAGAGTCCATAAAATCCTTTCTCCTTGGGAAGAGCCAAGAACTTTGGATTTCCTGGCAGCAGACTTGAAACTGGGAGAAGGGAAAGAGTTGTGTTCTGTTAATAGGTTAAATTGAACTCTCATCAACTGGCTAAGGACACATAGTATAAACGATGTATAAGAAAAAGCATTAACCTTAAGCCTAGCATATGTTACCCATAGCTAAGCTCATTATTGTTTGCTTTCAGAAGTGTACCTGACAAATTACGTTCGATGGCAATGGGTGTGACCTATGTGACTTTGAGATTACTTGGTATGAATTTTTAGCAATTTTTATTATAGAAAAATTTTCATTTAGTTTATAGTCATTGAAAGACATTAAAAATCATGAGGCAAGAGAACATGATAATTTCTTAAGGAAAATGGTCAGCCCGTACAGATGTTAGTTCTCAGAATTCAGGTCTGATGTCGTTGGGTTGACTGTGTTTATTGTTTAGCTGAATGTAATATATTTGATAAACGTATCTGAGACCAGGTAAAGTTTTCTCTCTTGAAAGACAGTTGTTCCTCAAGATCTGAGAGCATCTGACTTGAGGCTAGCATTTTTTTTAATCCACTGATTCCAGTTAGTTTTGGCCATGTGTGCATAGGTGTGGGTCATCCAGTAGTGTATGTGGAACATGGGTTTGGGTCATCCACTAGTGAAACAGCTATGGTTACTGTGCAAGACCTAGCAGTGCAAGATCAAACCAGTTTAAAATTCCAGCTTCAACGTGAGAGGGGCTCTTGAGGCACTAACCATAGCTGAGGAACCATTGGTAGTTGATAGCCATTGGCAGAGAGATTCATTTTTCTTTGGGAGTATGGCCATTGGTAGATTCCACATACACTAGTGGATACATTCTGTATGTTCTTTTTCAAATATGGATCCTAGGTTCAAATCATTGTGTGTGTGTGTGTGTGTGTGTGTGTGTGTGTGTGTGTGTATTTTAGAAGGAAATTATTCTGATCCTGGCCAATACTGTTTTTCAAAGAACTTAACAAACATTGACTATTTTGTAGGAACAATCCCTGGACCATTAATTTTTAAACTAACAGCAGATAGTTCTTGTACTTATTGGGACATTAATCCATGTGGAGTCAAAGGACATTGTTGGATCTACAATAAGTCGAAAATGGTCTACATATTGATGGGAATATGTAAGTGATATATAGTAGAAATTTAGGTAAATAAAATTGTTTTCAGAAGTTACAGTTCTTTATAGTAAGTACTTTGGTGATTAAAGGAGGCATAAGAAATTGTGTAGAAAATATTTTAGGAGCTAAAGAATTTATGCAACCATTTGAATTAACTGTGAAAATACACTATATTTTATTACATTATTATTCTGTATTATTACTTAAGAATGATAATTTGTAGAATTACAGTTTGATAACTTATTTTTCTTGTACATTTATATAGCCAGATTGGTTTACTTTGTGAGCTTTTCCAGTTTTATGGTAATAAATACTAAATAAATGTGAATAGAAATTTTTGTACTGCTAAAGACCATCAAGACACTGCTACCTCACTGAAGTCTAAACTTGATAATTTCTCCTTTATTCAGTAATATAAGACATATATTTAGACTTCTTCAGTTACAGAAAATCTCACAAAATCATTTAGTTTCTTTGCTCTAAATATCTTTCAGTATGTAGCACTGCCTTTACAGAGAGTTTGGTATTTGTTGAATGAATAGGAGATACAGAGATCTGGAATACTGTGGTGAGAGACTCTACTGTCAAAGTGTTGGGAGAATCCAGATATGTTAGTGTTCCTGTGAAAAAATTCACTGGCTTTTTCTGTATCTTCTTTCATTTATTAACTAATGATATTGTACTATATAATCTCTGAAGTTTTATTGAAGCAGAAATAACCAATGAGTTTATTTTCTATGAGTACTATTTTGATTAACAAATCTTTCAAAGTATTTATGCATTTTGTGATTTTACTGAGTTAACCAGTAATTCAAACATCATAAGTAAAGATACTAATATTTAATAGTAACAAACATGTGGCTGATAGACAGTATAGAGTAGAGCAACCCCTTCTCTGTACTGTAGCAAGGATATTACAAGTCACCAAGACTGATCTACTCTTAGTCTGGCATCTTATTTCTGTGTCACACTTGAACTTCTTTCATGATGTGTTCTGACAAGGTGATATAGACAAGGGGATGCTCATCAGAGTCTAGATGTTGTGTCTGTACCTTCCAAAATACTGATCTTAAATAAGTCACCTTTTAACATACCACACCTAGCCTCAAATATTTTGATGTAGTAAAGAAACATTGACTAATTCAAGTACTATACATTTAAAAAATACATTCCGTATGTATCACTTTATCCATTTGCTGCTTTTATAAAACAATAGCAAAGGGTAAAGGAATTATAAAACTATTTATTACAGTTTTAACAGTTGGAAAGTTCAAAACCAAAATGTGACATCAGATATGAGTCTTCTTGATGTTTTAGTAACACTATGGAAGCATCTCATGGTGACATATTGTGTATAAGAAAGAGGCCACAGTGATGAAGCAGAGAAAGGGGCAGGAACTCGTCAGTTTTTAACACCAAACCACCTCTTTCCAGTATCAGTGGTATTCATCCATCCCCTAGGGTTGAGTTGTTATGATCCATGCCATTAGGTCATAATTCCTGTTACTATTAAATGAGGATTTGAAGCCGGATGCAGTGGTGCATGCCTTTAATCCCTGCACTTGGGAGGCAGAGGCAGGCAGATCTCTGTGAGTTCAAGGCCAACCTGGTCTACATAGTCAGTTCTAGGCCATCTTGGGCTACAGGAAGACCCTGTCTTAAAAAGACAAAAAATAAAATGAGGATTGGGAGGGCACATTCTTCAAACTATGGTAATGTGGGGATTTCAATCAGAATCACTTGGAATTCTTATCACCTGTTAGAATTCCTGGATCAAAGAATGTCACAAAGATGATGACGTACAACTTCACAACAGTTATTCTTTCACAGGAAAATCTACTTGGCTAATCCTCTTCCATCCAAATACCTTCACAAGAGGCAAGGAAATCAGATGAGAGACTACACACCTCACTATAGCACAGGCATAAGAAAATATATGTGGAGGATGATGAGATTTACATTTTCACGTTACCTACATGACCCCTCCCTTAAGCCTGGGTACCACAGCCTTGAGAGATACCATCTTTAGAATATGTGATGGTTAATCTCAATTATGAACTTTGTGAGCTTAAAAATCACCTGAGAGATGTGCCTCTGAGCATGTTCTGTGGAGAATTATCTAGATTAGGTTAATTGATGTGGGAGGCCTGGCCACTATGGGTGGCACCATTCCCCGGGCTTGAATCCTGGACTCTATTAAAGGAGAAAATGAGCTGAGCACAAGCATTCATCATCAGCTCTGTTTCTTGACTGTGGATACAGTGAGAATAGTGCTCAAGCTCCTGCTGCCATGCCTTCTCTGCCATGATGGCTCTACCCTGGAACTGTGAGTCCAAAAAAAATCTCTCTTTCTTAAGTTGCTTTTGTTAAATTATTTTACAGCAGCAACAAGAAAGTAACTAAAATACTCTCCTATGGGAGAATGAACAATAAACAAACATCTGACTTTGTCAAGGATCCCAAATCAAGCTCAACACAATCAAACATAGCTCGAGGCTAGTCCCAAAGTTCCAGGATTCAGGATCATATAACACAGAGAAAGTCTTTAGGTCTAACTCAAATGTAGGCTGGCATTTGCAGCCCCAGACTCCAGGCTAGCGCTAATAATCCCTGCTTCCAGCCTAACACTGCATCAAAAAAAGACATCTGTAGACTATAGCTTTGGGCCAGCAACTACTGTCCTAGGCACAAAACCAACAGCTGCAGCCTAAAGCTTCAACCTGACTCCAAGAGACTCAACCTATAGGCTGATAAAATGGAAATTTTAATGCTGTTAAGTACCAAGCCAGACCTTGTTACCCAGTCTCCAAGATTACCAGTAGACTCTTATTCTGGGCTGGTTATAACAATCCTGGATGCAGAAGCACTGAAGGTTACAGGCCCACCATTGTGGACCAGAGTTCATGGCCTTCTCTAAGGGTAGCTCAGGCCCTATTAACCTAGACTTCATGATGGTCCCAGAACCTTGGAGTCCAGACCTACTTCACAAACCCATTTGGCACATTCATCCCAGGTGACCATAATCTCAAATCAACTGAGGTAAACCCAGGCTTTGGAAGTGTATGCCGAAGGCTCCATAGGCAAGCATTCTCAGAAGCTCTGGTCCAATTGACTGAGGAAGTGTCCCTGATTAAGAACCTTAAGGGCTACATGGAGAGGGGAGGGGTTCATGAGACCCTAACCCTATCTGATGCGCTGTACAGTTGGTAGCTTCTAGAGGGAAGGAGAGTTAGCTTTCTGTAAGGGTGTGGTCCCTGGTAGATGGACCATATTGCAGTGGATTGTCCCACACCCATGAGTATATGGACAGCAGAAACTGGACTCAGTGGGTTATTTTTTTAAAAAAGGGGATGTGAAAATTGTGAGGGAGTAGCTGGGGGGTGAAATCTGGGAGGAGTTGGGGGAGGTGTGTGGATATATATAATCAAAATACATTTATGAAACTCTCAAAGAATAAAAATATTTTTTAAAACCATAAGGGTTTTTTTCTAAGGCATATACTCCAAACAGCGATAAGGTAACACCACAGAAAGTAAAACACCTAGAGTGAATCCTAAAGAAATGGAGATAGAAGGACTGCCTGAAACACAGTTCAGATTAGCCCTGTTAAAGAAGCTGCGTGAACTGCAAGAGTAAAGCAGCCTCCCTTACTCATAGTTTCCATCACTCATGGACAACTGCAGCCTGAAAATATTGAAAAGGAAATTACAGAAGAGCACAATTTTTTTTTTTTTTAAATTATGGGCCATTCTGAGTAGTGTGAAGAAGTACTTCTTTGTCCCTCCCCGAATGGAAGTCATCTCTATCCAACAGAATCACATTGTGCACCTTCCCCACCTGGACGCCAGGCAGCAGCCCTCTTGACTTCAATGCTGTGGTGTCTTTGTGCTTGTGTTCAGGAGCCTGTGCTGTAAGTTGTGTTCAGGTAGCCTGTTCTATGGGTCTCCCCCTGTGCCCAAACTCTTAAAGGACTCATCACCCTGGTATTAGCACAGTGGGATCAAGCCTCCAATGCATGAACATCCAGTCTAAAGCAAACAATTCAATAATTTTCATAATGTGGAATATGATCATTCCATTCTTATAGAACCAAAGCCATTCCAGTATCACTCAGAAGTCCACATCCACAGGCTCATCTGCGGGCTTACGGGAAGCTCTTTCAGCTGTGAACCCTTGTTTTTTAAAACAGTTACATGTCACAAGCATGAGACAGATGCAGGATAAGCATTCCTGTTCCAAAGGGAGAGGTAAAAGGTGGAAAGGAGTGACAGTGCAAGAAAGACTGAATCCCAGCAGGGCTTAATAACTCCAGGCCTGGTATCCCACAACACAGTGGTGAAGGGTGGCCCCCTCAGGCAATCCTTGTCTTATGTTTTTGGTCCCAGGACACATAGTTTCTCTTTCAGTCTGACTGCACATCACCCACAACTTGTGATACTGTTGTGGACTGGTCTGGATGTCTCCTGCCCCCACTACAAGTCAGCTTCCAAAGTTTCACCCAACATTGCCCTAGTAGGTCTTTTGGGCAATGGAAACTTTGTATGCAAATAACCCTGTTAATTAGACTCAAATATCATAAAGCAGTGCCTAGCTGCTCTCCCTGCCTTTCCTTTGAGAAAGCTGCCGTGACACCGCAAGACTTATATTTTGCTCCCTTGAGCAGCTAGGATCACTTGGACAATAAGGTCTACTGTCAGCATTGCGGCTCAAGGGGTGCTGGAGTGAGCTCTCCACTTGAAAGTAGGGAGGGGAGTCCTGTGTGCCTTCCCTCCCTGTGTCCCTTGTCCCTCATGCATGTTGTTCCCCTGACATCAAGTCCATTCAGAGTGCTGAGACTCAGCCACTGAGAAATTCTGCCCTGGAAGGTGCAGGCCTGCATGTGAGCGGCACCTTCGTAGAATTCCTTAGTGTACTGAAGGCCTTTTTCTCATTGGCCTGATGCATAGCAATTGACTCCATTTAGTCACACTAATTTAATTAGTAAGTGGTTCCTGGATACACTTAGATTTTGTTCTTCCAAACATATTGTTTTGCTCTTTCCCTGGCCAGCCTGTGAACTTACCAAATCGTTCCATTCTTCTCCTTTTGTTCCACTGTAATTCTGAATAAAACCAACCAACAATACCCGTACCCTATTCTTAATATTTTGTTTAAAACTTTGCCCTCTCTCTCAATGTTATGCAAATGTCTTTCTCTTCCTTTGAAGCCTTTGTTCTAGTCAGTTGCTTCAGTCTAGTCTTGGTTAGATAACAATAACACACTGTTCTGCAATAGAAGATTTTTCCAGAGAGAAAGTTTGATTTTCTGGCCTCTTGTTCCTATCCAGTACGGAAAAGGTTTTCAAAGTACAATCTTCTGGTCACTTCCACTAAATTCTCCCTTCTTTTGAATATTTATGGAGTCCTCATTTCTTCAGCTATCAAAGTTATAAACAGAAGATTTTATTGTGTAGTCTGCCTTTTCTCATCTTGTCAGATAATTTTTCTGCTACAACTGTGCTCTTTTTAGAAGTACACATGGGTTTGTTTATTATTTATTTATTTAGTTGTTTGTTTGTTTATTTATTTGTAATTTCTCATTCTTTCCTCAAAAACTATGCCTGGAAGAGATTGTTATGCCATTAAACATGCATTACTATTTTATGTCTCATTATTGTGTTACAACTGTACCACAGGCAATTTTATCTTTAAATGGACATTTCTTAAGATTTAGGATATTTCATAAATGAAAAAGACAAATGTTTTTGCACTGTCTTGTGAAATTGATATATTAATTGACATTGTTCCTTTGTGATATTTGACTCTAATTAACAGGGTTATTTGCATGCAAAGTTTGATTATATTTATATAATGTTTATAATATAACTTCCTGAAATATGGAACATAAAAATGAAAATATCTACAAAAGCAATTATATTTTCTATAAGTTAATGTGTTTATATGTGGGAAATGGTGACTTCAGACTAAAGCTGCATAAACATGCATAAAGCCGCATAAAAGCTTCATAAAGCTTTAAACATGCTTCAGCTCCTATTGATAGTTAAGTTTTAATTATCAATAATTAAGTTTCAAATTGTTCATTTTTGTGTTTTCTTTTTTAAATTTATTATTTTTATTTTATGTATATGAGTGTACAGGCTGCATGTGTGTAGTAAGTGCACCAGTGTCCTACAATGCCTACAGAGGTCAGAAGAAGGCATCAGAACCACTGGAACTGGAGTTATGGATGTTTGTTTGCTGCCATGTGGGTGCTGGGATTCAAACCCAGGCCCTCAGCAAGAGCAGCCAGTGCTCTTAACTGCTGAACCGTCTCTCCAGCCCCATAATTTTTGTGTTTTCAAATGAACATATTTTATGAATTAGTAACATACTGCATTTTGGAAGCTATTTGACTAAGAAACATAAAAAGGTTTGTAAGCATTTTTAATCTCTTTTAAGCATTTTGACCTAAATTTATAATGTTAATATATTTTGTAATTAGGGAATAAATACCTTCAGAAGTCAACTATCATAATCTTTTCTTTAGGTAAACGGCTTTCATTTTTCAACATTTTTGTTAAATATATGTTTAGACTATGACAATTGAATTTTTTCATTCAGGTTTTTTCTGCAAAGTATGCACAGTCATATTCACGACTTGGGCACTTTCCAAATATGATGATTTGACAAAGGAAAGTGTGGAAAGCCTGTCCATGCCAGTTGGGAACATAAAAGCAAGCAAAGGGGGAAAGAAGTAACTTCTGACTCTGCACTGCGTAAGAATTCTACTTTTCCTTTGCCTGTGGGATATCCTATCAGTAACTTTTAAAATAATAATAGCGATTGTGTTACATTTAAAAAATAAATGTGCTTTGTATAGCCACATTAATTTTATTGTATTTTGAGTATAATAATGCAGTTTGTCTTCAGTTCACTAAAGGTATTATGAGATACATACTTAATACTTTCAAAAGGATGATAATGCTTGAAAGAGACTGAGAAGGAAGTGTGAAAACACTCAGGTTAATTCTAATAGTGATTCCCTATTAGTCGCTGCACTCAAGGAATGGAGGATTAACTAGGGTTCTTATAGTCTGTTTTTAATTTTTTCTCTGTTTCTGAGAATACACACGTGTGTAAAGTGAAATCATATCTACCCCATCCCCCATTTTCCCCTGACTTCTTTTATCCCTCCTACCCTCCCAACACGCACCTCCCAACTTCAAGTCTTTTTTTCTTTTTTTGTAACCCACTACATCTAGTTAAAGTTGCCCATGTGTACATGGGTATGGAGCCATACACTGGAGTATAGGAATCTTATTATCTATTTTTAAATTAAATTATGTTTATTTATTATTTATTTATTGTGTGTGGGTATGTGCACATGCATGCCATGAAATTCCTGTGGAGATCTGAGGACAACTTTTGGGAGTTGGTTTTCTCTTTCATCATATTGGATACAGATTGAACTTTGATAATCAGGCTTGTCAGTGGCAAGCACCTTACCGACTAAACCATCTTGCCAAATTCTTACTTTTTATATAGAAAACTGATGCTTATTTCTCAATTCTTTTGGAGGGGGTCTTTTTTTGAGACAGGATCTCCCTGTTGCCTCAGCTGGCCTGGAACTCACTATAAAGACCAGGCTGGCCTGACCTTGAACACACAGAGATCTGCTTGCCTTTGCCTCCCAAGTTCTGGGATTAAAGGCGTGTGCCACTATGTCTGGCTTTGTTTCTCAATAATTTTATAACTAAATTAGATTTTTCAGTCCAGTTCATATAATAGAATTCTTAATTAAAAATGTTTTTTGAAATTTTCATATATGAGTATCATATTTACATCAGTTCTGCCCTCCCCTAGCCTTCCCATTCTCCCATGTTCCACCTCCACTCTCAATATCCTGATACCTTTTAAAATTATTATTGTTTTATATATATATGCATATACGTACACACATACATTTATATGTATGTATACCACTTAAGACTAGATATCTGGAAGCCTGTCCCTGTAAAAAAACTGATTCTCTCTTATCAGCCATTGACTGCCTGTGGTTCTTCATCTAGAGGTAGGATATTGTGAAATTTCTCCCATCCACATTGGCATGTCAACTTGTGTTGTCATTACGCAGGTCTTGTTTGTCAACCATTTTGCAATTTCATGGGTGCACATTACCTGTTCTATCTTGAAGATATTGTCTACTAGAGAGGTCCTGGTCCTCTGGCTCTTACAGTCTTTCCATCCCTTCTTCTGTGATGTTCCCTGAACCTTATGTGGAGGAGCTGCAATTCGGATGCATCACTTGAGGCTAAAAACCACACCTTCACTTATTCTCTTCATTTTGACCAGCTGTGGCTTTCTGTAATTATCACTATCTGTTTTTAAAAAAATGAATTCTGATGAGTAGTGAGAGCTACACTTATTGGTGCATGTAGGATAACCATTTAGAATATAGTTAGAAATCATATTGGTTTAAGAAAGTGGCAGTAGTAGGCTCACCTCTAGGGTCTATGACCACTCCAATCACATGTATTTACCTAGGATTACAGTACCAGATGTGAATTCATTCATATTAGTGGACCTTAAGTCCAATTAGCTATTCGTTACCCTCAAGACAAAAGTGCCACTGTGCATATCTTGCTGGGCTGGTCACTATTGTGATTCATAGGCTTTACAACTGCATAGGACTATTGATTGCTTTTCTCCCTTGGCAGCTTGCATTGTGCCTTCTGATACTAGGAGAAATACTCCTCAAGAAGAAGGCTTCCAGACATATAATTAAAATCATATTTATTTTCCAAAGAAGACTGTATTAAGCATTTTAAAGGCTTAAATTATATTTATTGACAACTTGGCATTGAGTGATTTCTCCAGAAAATTCTCTATCAGCTGACCAATTTGCAAGACATTTTCTTGCTGCTTTTTGTTTTAGTAGGTATAAAATTCAATGTCATCATATATCTCTACATTTTTACATTCACCTGAATTCTATTGACTGTGCCTGCAAACCTGAATTGATATTTCTTTCTTTTTTTATTTTTATTCTTCAGTGGTTACTTAGAACAATTTCTTGTATAGAAACATTTACACTTGAATATAGAACATGTGTCAATTGCTTACAGAAATTTTCTTAAAATATGTTTTTGAAGAAAATTTGAAATTTAATTTGTACATTACTATGCATTTATTTGATATATTTTTCCAAATACTAGATAAAAAATGGCTCTTCTTTAACAAAAAAAATTCTCCAATGTTCTCTTCTTCTCTGGATAAAAAGTGATAACTGACAACCTTTCTCCTTTTCAATCACCCTAACTCATGACCGTGTGTGGAAAGGTGACTCTGACTGTCACCATAGCAGGCAGAAGGGAATGAGAGGCAGAAAGTAGTCATCTCACACTGTATGGTAGTTTTTCTTAACTTTAAGAAACATTTATGTTTCTTACATTTATGAAAATCTACAAACTGGTTTTTCTGTGAAATTTTAATTTACTATTTGATTCTTTTTGGTTTAAACCTTCAGGCTAACAGACGATTTGAGGGTCAGTGTCTTTCCTGTGAAGATTTTCGGTTTGTTGCTGTGCTACACTTTGAGAAGAGAAAAATGATAGTTAAGTAGTAAAAAGAAGCTCTTTGGGTCTGTATTTTCCTAATAAAATACATCCTTAGGAACATTTCTGGTCCTGTCTTATGAATTGTGGTGTGTGTGTGTGTGTGTGTGTGTGTGTGTGTGTGTGTGTATGTGTACAAGTTGTGTGCATGCCATGACGTGTGTGTGGACTACACGTAAGAATTTTTGTCAGGTGTTGTGGAGCACACCTTAATTCTAGCACTCAGGAGGCAGAGGCAGGTGGATCTCTGTGAGTTTGAGGCCAGCCTGGTCTACATAGTGAGTTCCAGGCCAGCTGGGGCTACAGGAAGACTGTCTCAAAAAAGACAAAAAAAGAAAAAAAAAATAAAAAAGAGCTGGTTCTTTCCTGCTATCTTACAGTCTTACAGGATACAGGGATTGAACTCAGGTTCTCAGGCACAGTGCCCCTACTAACTAAGTCGTCTAGCAAGCCCAAGATTAGAATTCCAAAATATCATTTTATTATTTAGATTTTTAGCAAGAATTAAAGATTGAACTTATTAAACTGTAAGATTTAAAGTATTCTGCACTCTAAACTCTAAATATTATTCATATATTTATATATAACTAGATAATATGGCTAAAAGTAGTAACATTCATTCTTTGAATGAACCCATAATATGTGTGTATGCAGAGATACTTTTAAGTTACATAAGCCCTTTTTTATTCTATCTCTCTCCTGAGAAAAAATAGAAGAGAAATTCTAGTAAAAATTACTAATATAGTTTTGGGTTTTATTTTGACAGGCTCTCATTAGTTCCAGACAGCTTGGAAGTCATTATGTGGACCAGGCTGGCCTCTGTCTCATAGAGATTCGCCTTCCTCTGCCTACTGAGGCCTAAAGTTAAAGATGTGTGCCACCATGTTTGGTATTTGTATAGATTTTTCCCTACAAAAGAACACATGTTCCTGAACCACTAACCCACAGGGCATTGCAAAAGAATGGTGTAAACAAAACTCAGTTTAAAAGTCTTTGCTTAAGGGCTGGAGAGATGGCTCAGCGATTAAAAGCACTGACTGCTCTTGCAGAGGACCCGGGTTCCATTCCCAGCACCCACATGGCGGAAGCAATGCACTCATATACGTAAAATAAAAATAATTAATAAAAAAAATTTTTTAAAGATTTTGCTTAAAACCGATTTCTACATCATCACATTATTTCATTTTGAAATATGAGGTAAGAAAATAAAACATAGGCTTATTTTATTTAAAAGAAAATATATGCCATATAAATAAATTACATTTTAAGTAATTATTTAAAAAGATACCTTTCAAGCCGGGCATGGTGGCACACGCCTGTAGTCCCAGCACTTGGGAGGCAGAGGCAGGTGGATCTCTGTGTGTTCAAGGCCAGCCTGGTCTACATAGTGAGTTCCAGGACAGCTGGGGCTACAGGGAGACCCTCCTTCAAAAAGACCCCCCCCGCAAATTAATACCTTTAATATTTGGCATTTGTGTGAGGGTAAGCCAATTTCCCTTTCTCTGTACAGTGTTTTATTTTCCATGAACCACACAATATTGACTATTAAAAGGATGTTTATTGTGCTAAATTTAATTGAAAATATAAAGTACACCCCAATAAAACAAATATATATGATATCTAAGCAGATTAACGATATAACTATTCATTTAGTTGTAGGTAAAGATAAATATCTCCAACTTAAAGTATCATCCAACGATTTAGAGAAGCATTACTGTTTAGAAAATAATTAGGACATATTTAGAAATGTGTTTGCTATGTGTTTTCCATGTTCAGATAACATTTTTCATTTTTTATACACATATTGCTTATTTGATAATAAAGTTACAGAGATTATATTTTTTGTTATATAAGCCAACAATCACAATAATTATTTGTATATTTCATATATTTTCTACTTCTACACCATAATTTTAACTGTTTATAGCAAATATACATTATCAGAGCAATTACCTCTAATTTAATTTATCATCTAATTTATCTCTTATATCTCTCTATCTCTCTCTCTCTCTCTCTCTCTCTCTCTCTCTCTCTCTCTCCCTTTCTCTCTGTCACACTCTATGTCTATCTCCAACTCTCTCTGTATCTCTGTCTCTGACTCTGACTCTGTCTCTTTATCTCTGTCTGTATTACATATTGGAGAT